AAGCAAGTTATAGTGTGTGACATGCCAGGCTGTAAAAAACAAGTCTTAACATGAGTATGTATATTTTTTAACCACTGAGTGAATGTACGCACAGTGAATGTTGGATTTTTCACCAAAAAAAATTCAAAATGAGATTATGGTACTGAAAAAAAAAAAAAAAAAGAATCCTTAACAGAGGTGCCAACCAAATGGTCTTCATCTGTGAATACCCAAATCATCATGAAATATATTTCGGGAGTGAGAAAAGGGGGAAGAGCTGGGTGGTAAAACATAGCATCCCCAGCCATTTTCTTTATTACTGCAAATGATTTGGCAAGGCAGCATTTCTTGCATGAGCGCTTGTATGATATGGGGGCCTGGCACGGCGAGAAAGAGAAGCCCCCTCTTGCATCTTAGACGAGGCACAATGAGAATGCATCGGATTGGAATGCCTCACCGATCATAGAATCAGAATTTCCTGCAAGGAAAATCTTTTCACGGCGAATTAAGGGGATGTAGGGGGAGAAAGAGGAAAAGAAAGAAGGGAAAAAGGTATGTGTGGCTCAAAAAAAACAGGGCTCTTTCGGCTTGGCGCGGAAGATTTAAGAAGTTTAGCTAAATCTAGGCAGAATAGAATGTGGAAAATTGAATTTACTGAACAATTAGGCATTGAATTAATCTTTATCCCGCACAGAAGACATCCAGCAGGAGAGAAATTTGAAGGAGAGGGAGGTGTTGAGTGAGAGACCAGGGTGGCTCATTAAGCGAACAGAATGAATCAAGTGTGAAGCTTTGGGTGCTGAGGGACACTCCTCCTTCTCTCTGTTTCTGTTTATTCATCTGTTCAACCTCTAAATTTAAATACACTAAAGGTGTCCCTCCTTTTTTTGTGTTTTTAAAGTGTTGTTAGCACAGGTTGCGTGTCTGTTTTCTGTTCAAGGTGAGTGCTTTCTGTTAATATGGCAGGTGTCCATGTATTTGTGGAAAGTGGATAAAAAGTATTTGTATATGTGGGTGTGTTTGTGCAAGCTAAGTGACCAAGAGGAGTGTGTTTGAGAACACACACATGCTGCGCAGCCCTGTGTGCGCCGGTTGTGTTATCTCAGCCGTGTGTGTATTAATTGCGTGTTAGATCAGAGCTGGGCCCCGTTCCATCCAAAGGGCGGCCTGTGATTATAAATAAACTCCCTCCCCCCCTTCACCCCCTTATCCCCGCAGAGATGCCACCGGGGCCCCGTCTCAGCCCCGCCCCGTTTCCCATGGGGCCGCAGTGGCCACCTCCCAGCAGGCAAAGCACTCTTTTGTTCAATTACAGCTAATGCAGTAGTTTTGCCATTTCTCCCCCCCCCCCTCTTTTTTTTTTCTACTTTCTAATTATATTTTCAAATGGAAGTTGTTAGAGAATTACAACAAAAAGGACAAGAATAAAAGAAAATCACATCCTTTTTGCGAGCTGAAGCTCTTGGGTTTTTCACTCCTCACCGCTTGGGATCCCTGGGGGGTTGGCTGTGCAATTCCTCCTCAGCTCTGCATAAACAAGTTCGGCTTTTTTTTTTAACGCCAAAGATTTGGAAGGAGTTGGCTAAACCTGTCGTTAACTGTTTGTGTTTTGAACATGTGGTCTGGATTACCTCACTTCTGATGTTCTCTGGAGTCACTCGGTCATGCATGGGTGTTTCATTTTTTTCTTGTTCCATGGTCAGAAAAAAAAGAGCTACTAAAGAGAAAGGAAAAAGAGAAACAATCATCCTGCTTTTTATCCATGTAAAAATCTGTGTTTACCCACCCTGTCCCTACATCCTAGTCAAGCCTTCATGCAGTGACTTTATTCTTTATTGAAAAGCCTCAGAGTCTAATTTGGAAAACGATTATATCGTCCATGTAATCACTGGATTATAATTTCATAGCCTGGGAACATCAAAGGAGCTCTAATCCGCCCCAAATGTGTTGAATTTGCTGACTTGTATCTTCTCTATATTATTCCACTTAGTCTATATTCTGTTTTAAACAAATACAGTGTCATGGAATAATGTCTACTTTTATTTTCTAAAGCAAAAAAAAATCAACTCCAAACCCTTCACGCAACAGCAGCAGTGCCAATCGTAGCATCCCAATTGAAACCAGTTGTTCCCTTCCCACAGCGTTCCTCTCCTCTCCTTCCTTTCTTCCTCCTTGTGGGTTTCTGTCACTCATTTCTTCACAAAAAGACCTAAAAGCAATGCGTGCACTCCGCTTTGCCCCCTTGATATCTGCCTCATTTGATTTCACAGAGCGAAGATAGGCCTGCACAGGTGTTGGAGGGGCATGATAAGTGTTTGTGTCGCATGTGTTCTGTTTGTTTGTGATATCAAGTTGTATCTGAGACATTTAATTCCATTTCCCTTCTCCTGTGACGTCTCCTTTCTCACCCTGCCTTTAGCGCTAATGTTGCTTCACAGAGCGCTAGGAGACATCTGGTTTAGTTTCAGTCACATGTCGCTGCTCTGTATTCAGTGGGCCTTTGTTTTTCTTATTGTTTTTGCATACATTCATTTATATATTTTGCTAAAGTATTCATCTCCTTTGATTTGTTTTTCACTTTTTGCCAACATAAAACGGGCGGGATTGATGTATTTTAGGGGAGTTGCATGTCACAGACTAACATAAATGGTTACGGCAATTTATTTTCTTTACAAATAAAACCTCTAAAGCTGTTTGACATGCATTTTAAACAGCGCCTCTGAATTAATACTTTATAAAACCTCTTTGAACAACTGGAAACACTTAATGTTCTTGGCAATATTAAGTCAGCTTGGATGGACAGCATTTGTGGACATCAGTTATTGATACTTGGCACATTTTTCTATATAGATTCTAACATAAATGTTTCCTTGCTAGTACAAAATGTATAATTTATACTATTTCAATGAAGCTCTGGCTTTTGTGCTCCTTTCCTACTGCATGTGGAACTTCCTCCCATACATACAAGTGTTTAGGAGTCTTTGAGATGATGGCTTCTTAGGTTGTTGGTTGTTTATGTTAAACATTTAATAAAAAATCAGTAAAATTATACATAGTTGAAAGGATGTAGGATAACGTTTGGATAAGGGATAGCGATATGCAGTACACATGTAAGTGAAGAATAAAATCCCAAATAAAACAAAACATACCTCACAATCGACCAAGAACTGCATCCGTCATCAGAATAACAGTCCAGCTTCCCTGCCCTTGCAGAGGCAAACCATCCCCACAGTAAGATACTGCCACCACCATGTTTCACAGTGGGGATGTTATGAACAGATTTACCAAAAGCCAAAAATGTTTAATTTTGGTCTCATCTAACCAGATCATCTGTTTCCACATGTTTCCAACGCTCCTACATGGCTTTTTTTTTTTTTTTACAAATTTTACAATAAATTTTTTGATCGATTTCTTTTATCAGCTTTTCGTTTTGTTACTTTGCCATTTAGACCAAATTTGGTTGAGCAGATGATTTGAAGCTGTCCTGTAGCATCCTCTCCCTTCTGCTTAGTGGCCAGAAAACAGACATATCTTAAACCTATTTCCTTTAATGGCCGCACCTGATTAACTGTAAGTGGGTCACAGAGGACGTCAGGTTTAATAGTAAAGAAAGAAATAAGACAGAAATATTTGAGTTATCCACAATCACTGCATTATGGATAAGTCTTACTTATCCATAATTCAGTCACATTAAATCCCTGGAAACTCCCCTGTTTATTGTAGTGAAAATGTGAAAAGGTTCAGGGGGTTGAATCCTTTAGTGACTATATGTAGCAACACATGTCTGGCTGTAAGTGATGAAGGCTGAGATGTCTTACTAACTGTTTGATTGTATTTGTTGCCTGCTTCCCTATCTGTTTACACTATTTGTGGCGTGTGGTCATTATGTCTTCAGTCCTCGCTGGGTCATTTGCTAACCACCGTCCAGTGTGCAGCTGACACTCATCCGGCCGTAGACATATTCAACTTGCTATATATAAACTCCGGAGTCTCTCATCTAGTCAGTAGATACATGGGCAGAGATTCAGTTTTGTATCAGCAAAGTAGATTTTTTTGTTTTTTTATTCTCAAACTTGGCAATAGGTTCACATTTCCATTTGTTTTTAGTCAACCTCAGCAGGGTTGGTATTGAATTTCATTTTGTTTAAGGAAAGATTGTTGAAAAGAATTTGCTTATTCAATTTTGTTTTTCGCTGTGCCCAAATTGAAATCTAGCTTCATATGAGTAGGACTGGTGTAGGGCTGGATTTATACTAATGGGGCAATACATGACTTATTTACCTCTTACTCTGCTCGGATGACTTCACTCCCTGGTGATTTCCGTAGCCTATCTTAGGTTGTAGCTGTTTTGTATTTTCATCTGCTAGTGGTTTAGGCCAAATGGAGGCGGCTGCGGATTGCATGCTTCAGAAAGCTGGGAACCGAAGCAACATGTTTCCTCTCTTTTCAGCTGGATTGGTCTTTTTTAGAAACGTCTTCTAATCTGCATTTCATAAAGAAAACTGTTGCGGGGCCTCCCGTATTGTATGATGGGCTACTTGAGACATAATCATGACTTCATTTCGTTTCGATTCAGCTTTTATGCCGTTGTTCTAGAAATGCTCAGATCAGTCAGAGGGAATGGCATGAGTAATTTTTTGTCTTTGTTCATCTCAGATCTGTGGTCAGCATGTAGGATATGAAAAAAAACTTTTTTTCGTATGTATAAAATATATACAACAAAAAATAAATAAGTAAATAGATTTAGAGAAACAGCGTCTTGCCAAAAGACATCACGTTTTTATGAATGTGTAATTTTCTTTAGGAAAAGTGTATTTGATTATTTTTTTATTCAATTCAGTTTATATATATAGGGCCAGTTTATTTATATAGCGCCAATTCACAACACAAGTCATCTCAAGGCACTTTACAGTTCAACCCTGTTCAACCCTATTCATAAACATGAACTGATTTATTCCTAATTAATAACAAATAAAAGAGTTTATAGCTTATCTCTTCTTTGCTGTGTCTCCCCTCTACAGACATCCTGGAACAGAGACCACGACGACACAGCGTCCACACGCTCTGGAGGTACGCCGGGACCGTCTAGCGGTGGACACACGTCACACAGCGGGGACAACAGCAGCGAACAGGGTAAGGCTTAATGTGCTGGAGGAGTATAATTAGAGCGCTAGGATAATAAGATTCTCAGTGTGTTTATTTTTCTATATGACATAAAGAACAGTTCTTCATGTGCTTGGTACTGCAACAGTTTAGATCACCATTACAAATGTGCTTAAAGACTTAAGTTGTTTAGATTGGGATTAATGCAGCAAACAAACTGCAAACAGAAATGCAACTTAATATATTATTGAAATTGATGTCAGGGCAAGTAGTGTGCAGGGTTGCCTGTGCCAGGAGGCATAGCTTGGTTATGAGCAGAGGACATTGCGATGTGTTTCAGCCCCAAAAAGCCTCCACTTATGAAGTCAACACAGATACACTGTGTCTCCTACTGAAGCTCTTTTTTTGCCAGTACTGGTCAGCACTGAGGACTTAGACATTAGTTTAGACAGAAATGAAAAATAGATCACATGGAACACGCTGATGAAAGAGCTCTGAAATTACAGCAAACTCAGGCTGAGACAAAGAGACATTGTACAAGTGTGTGTCCACTCCTCTACCTTTGATGCGTAATAGTCTGGAGCAGCCAGCCAAGAGCTGATTGGCCGCTCTAATGAGCGTGCTCTGTGCCGAGTTTGGGCTACTGCTTCCGTGACCTTTGCCCCTTATTGACCAAAACTGACACTTCATTTTTCACATCTTTCCAATTATAGACTGGCTCCTTATATTCTCCCCCATTGCAATGACTCTATCTCATCATCTCTCTGTCACCTCCGATCTCTGTTTTCCCAACTCTGTTTGAGCTCTTGTATGTTTTTGTTTGCCATTGGAGTTCATTAGAGGGTAAAATGTGGGATAGTGAGCACTGAAAGTTTGTTGGTGAGTCTGAGAATTTTAAATTCTTTGATTTATTAAAGGGCATATAAATGCCACTCCTGCCCTTATACATATTGATGAATTTGCTACATTTTTCTAATTAAGTTTAACCCAAGAGTTCTACCTCTAAGAAAAGATATCTGACATATTGATGTTCAAAATAACAAAAGGTTTTACTAATCAATAACCCTGTTTTAAAATATGCATGTAGAATAATTCAGTCCAGCTTTAGCTTGCCCATATATTTACATTCTTGCCTTATTTTTTCTCATCCAATTTAATCCTGATGCCAAAAAACTGCCCTTTAGGGAGCACTAATACTAACATGGAGGAAGATGTCAACATTACTATTGTTAGTGGCAAGCTGGAAGAATTGGATCAGGTGCAACCAATGGAAATCTTATTTCTGTTAGTCAATGAATATATGACCATTGTCTTTTAGAAAAGAGGCTTTAGATTCTCTAGATTCTGAACAGAAGATTCAGACTCATTAATAGAATTAAAGTAGCAGTTTTCTTTAATACCAATTAGCCGCTAACAGTTATCCTGTTGGTTTATTATCACAAATCAACCAACTCTTGTAACAAGTAGAGGTTCTTCAGGACCCTTTCTAACAGCAGTTTATTGGTTTTGTTGGCAGACCCCAGCAGAAGCTGTTTTGTGTGTTGACTCTATTTGTACCAAATAGACAACCAATAGAAACCATTTCCTTTCTTACTTCAAAATAAGAGCACCACACATGGATATAAAAGTATCTCAAGGTTAAATCGCACAAGATAAGCTTGAAGCTTCGAGAATTTAAGAGAATGGAATTAGTTTTAAATAATCTGGAAATTCATCTCTACATGTCACCTTTCATGAAATATTGCAATATTAATGATTTGGTTACAGGATTTTCTGCTCAGGTGTGACTAAACTTAACTAGAAGACAAATTTAAAACTAAACTCTGGAAAGGATTTTCTTGAAACATGGCAGATGGCTTAGCTTTAGTCAACTCTTTTTAACAAGACGAAACGATGCAACAACAGAAATCTATTGTGTAACATTTGTGTAACAAGCTGATGGCAACTGTTTACATGTTTAACCATTCAGGGCGTCTTTTAATCTATATATTTTTAGAACCAGGTAGTTTCAGATGACTCCTCCGTGTTAAAGCTGTTTCATGGGAGCCCACATAAACAACAGCCTCCCATAGCATCAGAGCGCAGTGACAACAGTAAATGCCGCAGGACATATTGGACGCCGTTCAGGTTTATATGGGTTAGAAGCTATCACTGCCACGTCATACTGGCTCGGGTAAATTCTGTGTCATTCACTCGGTAATCCCAGTAAGCTGGTTATTTATCTGTTTGGCACTTTGCTCACTTTCTACCCGACAGCTTCACCCTGTTGTCTCTCTTCCCTTCTCTCTCACTCTTTCATCTTCATGTCTAACCTCCACTCTTAACCCCCCCTTGCAGTTTTCCCTTGTCTCCCACCTACACTCCAGTCTCTCTTTCATTTGACTGTCAGTTTGTTCCTCTTTCCTGATGCATCCCTCTACTTTCTCTCTCTCTTTCTCCTCCCCCATTTTTCTTCTGTGCCTCCCACTCAGTCTCGAACATCACCTTTTGTCTATCCCTCTTTTTTCCTTCTATCCCTCTCTTTGTTCCCAGTGTGTTCTCCTTGATTCCCTTCCTTTTTTGCCTACTTTGTCCCTGTTTATCCCTGTGTATTAACCTCTAGTGTGTCTCTTTTGTGATATTCATATTTCTTTCCAACTTGCTTATCCTTCTTGAATAATGTGTTTTTACCGTTCTTCATTACTTCATCAACAATATCTAATTGCTAAATTTAATGAGACACTTGGCTTCACACACATTAACTTTTTACGTAAGCTTTGAAATTAAGTTACCCAACTCTTTCCCGCTGGAACAGCTTCATCTGTTCTGGGGAGAGTTTCTAAAAGGGTTAGGAATGTGTTGATGGGAATTTTTAAGAATTTCTTCTGGGGAACAGGTCCAACTCTTAAGTTGGATGATCCAGCCTGTTATGAAGTCTCAAGTCAAATGCATTAACTAGAAGAGGCAATCCCCAAACTGTTCTCTCTCATGGCTATCCATTGTGACACAAATAGTTTTCACAGGAACTCTATTAAGGCACCACCTTTTCTCGTTGTGCCACATAAAACCAAGTCTTCTGCTCAGATTGCCTGTAATACAGAGAGTGACAGTGGAGAATCCCTCCTTAAGTGGCTTTAAGGTGATGAGGATAGGCTTTAAAATTAGAAAGGAATTTGGTAGAAGCTAAAAATGTATTAATGGAGAATTCTTGAGCATTAACCATTTTTTCTTGGAACAGTCATAGAGAGTGGTTTGTTTTTAAAACCAAATTACATAAACAGTATTGAAGACTTGTAAAGTTTAATTGAGGTATTTTTTGAAAGGAAAGTCAAGTCTCGCTAACTTTTTAAATCCTCCATATCAACCGCTTAAGAAAATATTGATCGCTTATTCCATCTTTTACCAATACCTCTTACGTCTCCCCTCAATCACTCTGAGACCTTTCCCACTTTCTCCTTTTCTGATTCCCTCGTGCTCCTCTGCTTATCATCTGCTCTCCTTCAGCCTCCTTCCTCCAACAGTTGAAGCATTTCAAATAAAAGATGCTGGAAAGACACAGCCCTTTAACGAGTGATCTCATCTTTTCTTTTTTTTTTCTTCCTTTTTTTCTGGGGCTATTACTGAGGAAAAAAAAAACACATGTTCTGCTCTGGTCTCCTTTCTTAACGGGTCATTGCCCAATGGTATAAAAGTTGCTGTTTTTTTACCCGGAAGTGTACTCTTATTTTTTGGAAAATCAAAGAGCTTGAGGAACCGTGAGAACTGTGGATAGAAATAATATGTTTTTTTTTTTTTTTTTTTATGATAAGATAGTTAAAGATAACTCGTAAACTTGCAGATGTTTTGCAGAGCTTTTACAGTCTCAAAAAGGCGACAAAGAGAAGCCTGGCTCTTATTTTTACATGTGGTGACAATTCTCACATGCTGCATCCTCATTTATGGTGTTTATGCTTTGACCACAATGCCCATGGTATTTTTTTGCACTGAATTCCATTGGCAGTCACAGAAAATAGAGGGAGGATCACATTTGTTTCACATATGTCATTAAAATCAGTTCTGGGTGTCTTCTTTTTCCCCTAAGAGCATACAAAGAAGAAAGAAGCTTGTTTTTCTTTTTTATTTCTCCTCCTTTTCTTCTGGAGATCTTTGTAACCATCCAGAGAGTGCTGACAAGAAGACTCCAAGAGCTACCCTGCAGTTAATTAGTCCCACTCTATTAGTCCAGCTATGTCTTAACTAGTTCCTACCAACAGCCATGCTTTGTTAACAATCACAGCAGCCTTGATCATGCTCTTGTATGAAAAGTGATGCTCTGAGGGTAAAGGAAAAGCTAACAGATCATGCGCTCATGATGGTGGGGAGTCCCTCATGCATACGAGTGAGTCTGCTCTTTTCTTGCCATATAAAGTGACTCCTCTTTGCCTGTGTGAATTTGTAAGGACACCCCTCGGCTTCTCCGAGTGCCTAGCGTCTGAGGGAAACAGAATAAAACTCAGGAGCGGGTTGGTCAGCTGCAGCCAGGCGGTGGTGAGCTGAGCGTGTTGTTTGCTGTCTCGTTCTGAAAGCTACAGGGTCTGCTTCTTTGCTGCTCTGAATCGTCCTGGGAGTGAGGCGATGACTGGTGATATTAGATATGTATCACCAATTACCCAGACCGTCTGTGCAAAGCACAGAGTGCCGGGCCAAGACAAATGGCTCCCTGTTAGGCTTCGTGTTGGTGTCTGCATTTGTTGCTGGTGTTCAACTATTATTCTGAGATATCTGAGTTTATGATATTCAGCTCCTGATGTTCAATTCAATGGATTTGTGTCTAAAAAACATGTAATTTGCAAAACTTTTTGGCACAGATATAATTTCCTTATACTTTCAACAAGCTAGACCTACTTCTTTGTAAACTGTTCTTGATTGGTATGTCTTTAGGCTTTTTAAAAGTCTTTCTTTCTTCTATTTTTTTCTGCTTCTCAACCTTAAAAAAGTTTATTTTTGTTGAAAACAGTTTTTTTCCCCACCTAAATAATATAAAATAAATAGCTTTTCAAAGAATGATGGCG